ATATAACTCTGCGATACACTTAATCTCAATACTCGCGCTAAAACAAACAGTATCACGAGCGAACGAACATTAAGTTCAACAATACCCTGTGACTGCAGTTCAATTACTCACTATCTATACCTTACATTGCCCTCTTTTATATACCAGCGTAACCTATTTCTAGTAAGAACTTGAACATTCGACAAAGTACATGATAGTTCTAGAAACGTTGCGTCATAGTAGTCACGTGACTCGCTGACGCAACATCTGGATACACTTAATCTCAATACTCGCGCTAAAACAACACTGTAACGAACGAACGTTAACTTCAACAATACCCTGTGACTGCAGTTCAATTACTCACTATCTACTCACACACATTACATTCCCCTCTTTTATATACCAGCCTACCCTATATCTAGTAAGAACTAGAACATTCGACAAAGTACATGATAGTTCTAGAAACGTTGCGTCACAGTAGTCATGTGACTCGATGACGCAACAGTATTATAGTAGTCTTGTGAGCATCAAACCACTTTTAAACATGGTAAAGCTCTTAGGAACCAATCTCTTATAAATGCAGTGCAAATAAAACTGTAAAAAGAGAAATTTGAAAATATGATGTGTAAAAGCTAAAATAATACATATCAGACTTTTGCTAATATTATAGCGATAATAACAATGGTAAGAACCAGGCTGATTCTACATATGGTAATATAAGTGAAACTAAGCACTGATCTTTTATTTACTTTCTTATCAAATAGATAAATGTAAGCTTAGATAGGAGTAAGACCGGTAAGAACTAGTTATTACAAGATGTGGCAGTATAAGCTAGAATCAATATTAAGAACCAAAGAACAAGTATGATAAAAATATGATGGTTAAAAAAACAAACAAGTTTTTGTAAACATGGCACGAAAACTAAAACTGGTGCACATAAAAGTTTTAGATATGATGTAAAAATGGTAAGAACCATACTTCTGTAATAATTGTGGTAGAAGTAGTACTGGCAAGAAACAAAAATTTCTAAACTGGGGGTCTAAATAAGAAGGCTAACAATCATGCAGCTATAAGGTACAGAGTGGCTGGAGTAATACTGCTAAGAACTAGGCAACCATAACCATGGCAGTAAAAGTAACACTGATGAATGTGCATCAGACAAGTGTAAATATGGTATTGTAAGTAAAGCTGGTAATTACCAGATATTTTAAAATATGATACTAGTAAAAATAGTACTCTTAAGAACCAAACTTTTGTCAAAAACAAAGGCAGTAAAAAAAATAGTACTAGTAATCCCTATATGTATATTAGATTTTTATGAGCTTAGTTTGACATTTGAAATAAAAAATAAATCCTTGAATAGTTGAGGAAGTACAAATATGAGAAAAAACGAAAAAATAAATACAGATTTATTGAATAAATATGGAGCTGAAGTTCAAAATTATTTATTATCATTGAGATTTGAACTTGTAAGATAAACATAAAATTACAAAATTTACCATTAACAGGGAAAAGGATGTGAAAATCTTGATGCAGTAACGAAGACTCTACCGCCAACACATTTTCATGTTCAAAATTGGGTAAGTATTTTCAAGAAAATATGGGATTGGTATTTCAAAAATCGCTTCTATACTTCATTAGTGGTAGTCCAGTAAAGGGTTTTTGTGAATTTGAAGTTTTAAATTGTAAAATAATTTTAGTCCACCTTATATCCAACAATTGGTTTACATGTATATATTTTAACACTGTAACTATTTCTTGCCTTAAACTTAAAGAATGAAAACCAAAAGCTTAGGTACAAGGACATTATTTTTCAAATTGAAGTTAATTAGACATTACATCAGTATTGCTTTAGTACAGTTACTTAAATAATGTGTTCTACAAAATAATGCAGTGACCTAAGTACTTTTAGACAGTGTAATAATTTATTTATCACCAGAAAGAAGAGTATTTTAGGTATTAACAGAAATTATGAAACTTAATTATTAAAATATGTAATAGCTAAAGTAAAAGATATACATATGTACTAACTATTGACAGTAGAGTAATTATTTAACTATTATTAGATAATGTCATAATTTAAATATCTATGTATATTATATGAATATAATACTGTATACATTGTAATATAATAAACTATTAATATTGTATCAGAACCAGTATTAATGTTTGATAATGTATGAACAAATAAATACATCTATTAAATATTTATTTTCATTTTTGCTGACATGATATTTTGTTTTACTTTTTTTACTTTTTGTTTAGCTGTACCTGATTCTGGTCTGATTTTCATGTATATCAGATCCCTGACTTGATGTTTAAATGCTCCTATTTGTTCTTTTTATGTTTAACAATACTTAACCTTTTTATGTTTTTATGTTCAAAAAGCTCAAGCAACCTAGAATTATTGTACACTCTTAACCGCAATCAAAGCTACAAAAGTTTCAAAATGTAGATTCCATTGTGAAAGCATGGCTCAGTGTCCTCATACTCATTTCCTGTAATTTTACTTTTCACCTAATATTCTACTTTTGGGCCAATATACATTTAAACTTTTCAAATGCAGAATATTAACTCAAAGATTCAGTCCAAATGGTATTTCTAGGCTAGGTTATGGATGCATGTCATTCAAGAATTGAAACAAGGTGTCCAACTGAAGAAGATTAAGTTGGACTTTCATCCTGTAAAGTATGACTTGACTCCATTTGATATGTTGCTGGAAGACATACGAACTCAGCGGTACAAGCTAAAGGAAGTCAGGGTAGGATAGTTTTATTTTATATGAAGTGTTCAGTCAGTTTTTAAATATCGTTTGTTTATGACACTATTAGTAATTTTTTAACATAAATGATAGGTTTAACTGCTTGATTGATTCTGTTCTTATCCCAAAATTGAGAAAATATATTTCTCTTTGATCTTATAAGACAGTTGATTATTTTCTTATATCTGATTTTCTTTATAATGATTTAATCCTTTTCTCTTCTTGACAAGTTAGTTAATTATAATTTGTGCAACTGGCTTTATAACTCATGATGTTTGACTTTGATGTGATACATGAGATGATTTGACTCAATATTTGATTAAATTCAGTTTCTGATTTGATGTATGTGTGCTATATCAATATACCTGCATTTCTCTGTTCTTTCAATACTGTAGTATTTATTACTGAATTTATCATTTATTCTGTATCTGTGCAAGTTTCACATAACATATAGTCAAGAAAGCTTGAATTTCATTGTAGCTGCCTTTGTTTCATTGTTATTCTTGAGCATATAATACCTGTTCTGTCAGTAGATGATATTGCTCAATACTGCACACTGTGTAAGGATGTAACAGCAGTGTCTTTCAGTGGTAGTTCAGGTGATATCTAGAGGTTATGACCTCCCCTATATTCTAATAGAATGACCAGCTATATAGAAGTAACTAGTCACTCTTGGTGAATACAATGTTTCTTGCAAAGTAAGGAACACTAGATTTAGTTAATCTGGTACATGGATTCAGCCTGAACAGTTGAATATATAAGATCTAATATAAGTAATTGTTCATATAAAAAAAAATTACACATACTGTGTTTATGTTTTAAAATATGAAGTAAATAAAGATTATCCATTTCTTGTTTTACTTTGTGCCCAGGCACCATTTTTTTCATCCATTTTCACAACTCGGATAATCAGGAACATAGAATCACTTTGTAATTGGTATCTTGATCAAATCTCCTATTATTAAGCAGACCTATCCCATTTTTCTAAGGTTAATTCAATTTTATCAAAATATACGACAGAGTGGATAGGAAGGATAAAATATTGGTGCCATGACCACAGGATATTGTATTGTGGCATTTGCTATTTCTTCTGAAATATGTACTACCTTTTGCTTAAACAATTTGGTGTTAAGTTTAAAAAGGTTTCTTAGTTAAGGGAAATGGCATTTTCCACACCTAGAAAGTCTTTTATCAAGAGAAAGCATTGGTCACTAAGGGCAGATGATTGTTAGAGAGAGTTTTTGGAGCTAGAAGAAATCCTCTCCTGGATATTAGACTTTTGAAGATTCATGACTTCTGTCTTCTATATCCAATGACTTGGAAAGAAGAGCTGCCAATGTTTGGGACTCTCAGAATGGATGTCCATGCTCTTACCAGAGGATCAACCTTAGTGTGAGGGAAAAACAAACTACTGAGGGATGTCATGGTGGTGTGTTATCTTATGAGTTTCAGATCGAACAGGGTGGTTTGTATAGGACTTCCAGACTTAAACCAGCCAGAGTAATTCAACCCCACCTCTGATCAAAGCTGCTCAAAAACATTGGAGAGTGACTGGAGATGCCAATTCAGCCAAAAGGTAAGGTGGTGAGCCTCTCCGAGCTGAGAGGTATACTGCCTAGATAGCCATGGATCACTGGTGAACCTGGGGTCAAGCAGAACCAATGGACAAGCTGCTAAGTGTACCTAATTATTTTGCCATTCTAAAACAATACCCAACTACTCATCAGAATGTGGGGGTTCCTAAGAGCACCTACAATGCTGTGCTTATGATGTGAAGGACATCTCAATTAGATGATGGGTGGGAAGGAAGTTGTCTACCAGGATCACAGTTCCCTATGTACGAGGTGAAACATATCATTTCACCAACTTTCAAAGGTACAATGAAGGAGGATTTGGGCCATTTCAGGAAGGTGTTAAGCACATAAATGAGGGGCAACTGTGAGACTATGAGACAGTCATTACTGATTTCTACTGGTTGTTCAACCTGGTGGAAACTGAGCAATTCATCAGGGTAAATTCAAGGTTTGGAAAAGGCAGGCCACTGTATGCTAGTTTTGGTAAATGAAGAGGTCATTCACCAACTATGTCTAGTAGTTAAACTGATGTTCCATGGCATACTTATTCAACGTCAGCCAGAAAAGGTCTAATAACAGTGGACTGCACAAGTGTTTGTGGGAGAGGAAGTATACAAATGGTGCTCCAGTGTGTTGGTGCCACCTAATAAAGTTATAGGGCCCATGCATGAACTGGCCTGTTTCTTGCTCACAAATTAAGCAGAATTAACTGATGGGGATGAAGTCCCAATGTTGATCTGCAGTTATGAATGAATAATTATCTAGCTGCATGCTGAAATGGTCATTGACACAATAAACAAAGTGGAAGTAACGTATGCTAGTGGTAATGCTTGAGTTGTATCTGTTATGCCAGGTCCAAAGGTAATTACAAAGATATCAACACATCTGAGATCATCAGTCGAGGATTGTGTATAAAGTCTAGACTCAATGCAGTGGTAGTAACTCAGTGACTATTGGATGGAAATCCCAATGAACTTATGAGACCAAATGGTTAATTTGGTCAAACAACAGTAACACAACATCACATAGATACAGGTGATGGATGTCCTACTAAACAGTTGCTGTACAGGCTTCCCTTGAGCACTAAGGACCTAGACAGTGCTGAAATATAGCAGATGTTAAAGGATGGGATCACACACCCTTGAGAGAGTGTTTGGTCGCTTCTGGTAGTGATTGTCAGAAAGAAGGAAGGTATGTTCAGGTTTTGCATCACTATTAAATGGGTGAATGCAGTAACTCATATTGACGCCTTTCCATTACTGTGAACAGATGAATATATGGATGTGTTGGAAGAAGCCCATTGGTTTAATATGTTAAATCTTGTATCCATATATTGGCAAGTAAAGTTGTATGACGAAAGCAGACTTAAGACTGCTTTTAGCATGAATGATGGCTTGTAAAAGTTTTACATAATGTCATTTGGTCTATTAATGAGCCCACCACTTTTGAGAAGCTAATGGGTCTTATATTGAAAGGGCAGCAATTGGAAAAGTGCCTGATGTATGTTAATGACATCTTAGTGTTTGGTCACACATTCAAGTCTGTAGCTGAGAACCTAAAAAAATGGTATTGCAGCAAATAAAAAAGACAGACTTGAAATTGAAACCAGGAAAATGTGCATTCATGTGTACAGAAGTGGAATTTGTTTGTCATTTTGTGTGGTATAGAGGAAATATTCATGGATCCTCCTAAAATAGTAAGTGTGAGAAATTTGCTAATGACCATACAAGAAGTCTGAAATTTCCTTAGTTTTGTGTCTTATTACCAACAGTTTGTGGCCTGTACTTCCAAGATAACCTCACCACTATTGGCTTTTATTCAGATGGAGTGAGGAATGCAAGCAAACATTCCAGTCCCTGAAGTGAGCTTTAGTAGAAGCGTTAATGCTGGCATATCCATTACAAGATTGTGAATACCTACTAGACACTTATGCCAATGATAGTTGAATCACAACAGTCTTATTATTGCTGTAGGATGGAGTAGAATATGTAATTGCATATATCAATTGTATGCTCACATTTCCTGAATGCAGATACTGTACAATGGAGAAAACTGCTTGCATTTATTGTCTTTGTAAAACACTTGGCACTACTTGTATAGTAGAAAGTTCACTGTTGGAGTGGACCATTCATCACTGAAATTGTTGATTACCATTAGAAACCACAAAGAAATGATAGCTTGCTGGATAACAGCATTGCAAGAATATAACTTAACCATATGTGATCACTCAGCCCACAAGATAGACATACTGATAGATTGTCTTGCCAAACAGGAAGACCTTCCATTCATTTAAATGTCCTGATCCTGAATATCATGTGGGAGTTGAAATAATTTCTGCCATAGCGATGACAAGCCATACAATAGGAGATTCCACTAGTGGATGGATGCCATGATTAATACTTTGGAAGCTCTGGAAAAAGCAACTAAAGGACTCAGAACTATCATAAACATTCCTTGCCCTGCAACCAGGTAAAAAATGAGTGACTCAGATTAGTGAATGGGCACAAGCTGTTCCAAGTGTAGGAAGGTGTGCAGTACCATTGTTATTAACTACTGAGCAGTAATTCTCAGACTTTGGTACAACTAGTGCTTTCCAAATCTTTGAGACACAAAATTCTCCAGAAATTGCATAACACTAGACTAGAAGACTAGAAGAACAAAGACTAGAAGGGCATCAAGGTATTACATACACTTTTGCTAATGCTTAATGATGCTTTTTGTGGTTGTATTGGAGTCAAGATGTTCAGTGTTGGTGTGAACACTTTATGGTGAGTATCACCCAGAAACAAATTTGGCCTAAACAGGATAAACTCCAACAAATAATTGTTTGTTCTTCTCTTCAGAGAACAGCCCTGGACATCTCTGATCCACTCTTGGAGACAGAATGAGGTCACTTGTGTGTACTTGTGGTCATTGACTACTTCACAAAGTGGGCTGATGCTTATCTATTGGTCTATATGTCTACAGAGTCTGCAGCTGATGTACTGATGAAGAACTGGATATTTTAGTTTGGAGCACCTGAAGAAATCCACATGAACCAGGGAGTTAACTTCAACAGCATAACTGTTTTCTGAGTTGTGTAGTGTGGAGTGTGGTGATGATGCACACTTCACCTCTTCACCCTAGCCTGATGGTTTAGTGGAATGGGGGACAGACTGTCAAGCAGATGCTTGTTAAGTTTGTTAATCCTGACCTAATTGACTAGGATGAATACTTACCTTACTTCATGATGGCATACTGTGCAACTAAATGAGATCAACATGTTGTTCACCAAATATGCTCATGTTTGGCCAAGAAGTTTTGCTTCCTATTTATGGGATGTATGGTCCTCCACCAAGAGCAAGCTTCCCACAATGTCCACAAGAATATGTGGTGTGGTTAAGGTCTGTATTAGCTAAAGTGCACAATTTTGCATACCAACAGTTA